TTTTTAATTCTATTCTTAAGGTTAGGGTTTTTAATTTTAGTTTAATGTATGTACTGTATGTTTTCTATTTTGTATGCTACTGGATACTTGAATTTCCCTAGGGATAAATAAAGTATCTATCTATCTATCTATCTATCTATCTATCTATCTAGGAAGTCTCATTGAGATCTCTAATGTAAGAAAAACATGAGAACAAATTATAGACTAGTCAAAAACATCAGTCACACTAAAAAATGCTCACAAATATAATTTTAGTACAAAAACAAGTACAACTTTAAAGTCCCTGTGTCCCTGACCAGGTGAAGTGAACCAGTCTTCCCCAGTACAGAGCTGGTGTAACTTAAAAGCTAACATTACCTGGGATCTGGTGTCATAGTGGTTCACTCTGATCTCATCCATGAAAAATAACCAACAAATACAAAAGTAATTATATTACAATTTATGAATTTTCAATCTTGTGAATGTAATAGATTACATTTAGTGCCTTACCAGTTCCAGCAGTGTTCATATGAAGGCAGGACACGAGTAACAGAAAAACATTTATTTACAAATGTAAATTACAGTTACCTTTAAAAACATTTTCCCTTTGAATTGCATTAACTCTCACCACCAGACTAAACCTTAAGACACATGAATGCTCAAGGCCTACATGCATTTTATCACAAAGAACATTGTAAGTGCTGGCTCTTATAGTTATACAGTAGCTGCAGTTGACCTGCCCAGCCATCCTCTATCATATACTAATCTCCTTCATATATGGAAATTGGACTGACATGCTAGACAGAGAATGAGAAAAGAAGAGGGAGGCGTGGAGGAGTACTGAGTTGCTGTTATTTGAAGAGGTTCCTTGGGTAAATCATTTAGGTTTTCAGTATTTTAAGTTACAGTCTTAATATACCTCTGAAAAAGACAACATAAATGAACATATATAGAACCTAAGGCAGTAAAGTAGAGTGCTCCTCATACAAAACTAGATAGATGCTACAGTTCAACTACAATTCCAGCTCATCGATTTAAATAATTTGAATGCTGTATTTCACGTGGTTGAAGTTGCAAATACACTCCACACATCTGTATGTCTTCATTCTAAAGTCACAAAAGAGTTTCTATAAGGTTAGAGCATTATTAATACACAATAATGGTAAGTCTCATGATGAAAGGACTCTTATGTATACAAATCCTGCAGGCCATG